AAAAGCTGCAATAAATCAAACATTAAAACAAATAGCGACAATGAAAGTATTTGGGTAGAGATTGGTGAGGGCAGTGAATCCGTAGTCATTGGTGTTATATATAGACCACCTAATTTGAGTAGGAACGATGGTAAACTGCTATGGGAGGAAATAAAGAAGGCATCTGATAGAAACAATGTATGTATTCTAGGCGATTTCAACTTTTCAGGCATAGATTGGAAAAATCAACTTAGCAATAATGAATCTGAAGATTTTCTAGAAGTAGTACAAGATAGTTTTTTATATCAATTCATAAACTCGCCCACTAGAGGAAATAATATCCTCGATTTAGTTCTCAGTAATAATGAAAATCTAGTAAAAGATGTTGGGATTGGAGACGAACTAGGAAACAGTGATCATAAAGCCATATATTTTAACATAATATGGAATGGCAGGAAGAAGGAAAATTCGGCCTTGATCCCGGATTTTAGGAAGGCTAATTACGGTAGCTTAAGGAGAGACCTAAGGGATGACCCTATGGTCAAAAGATTAATCCCCCCCACACCTCCGGAAACTGTCAACTTAGGACGGGATAACCCTGAATTTAATTTAGCAGCTACTTATGAACAATTTATTGCGACAATCAATAATGCCCAAAATAAACACATCCCTAAAAGAAAATTCAGATCGATACGGAACCAACCAAAATGGATGAATAATAGACTCTTAGATCTTCTAGGGAAAAAGAAAGGAGTATAAGAAAAGTTAAGAAAGGCGAAAATCACTTACTTGGTTACTATCAGAACCTAACAAGACAGGTAAAAACAGAAATTAGGAAAGCAAAGAGAACATGAAATCAAGGTAGCAAACGAATCGAAAAATAACCCCAAAGCTTTTATCAACTGTATAAATCAAAGGTTAGAGATACAATAGGTCCTCTGAAACCACGACAGGAGAAATGACTGATGATGAGTTAGAAATGTGTAGTACGTTAAATAGTCATTTTCGCTCCGTATTCACAAATGAAAACCTAGCACAGTTTCCAGAAGTTCATAAGGTATATAACAACAGTATAGAAAATATGTTGATGAATATCAATATTACTAGTAACGATGTGCTTAAAGTAATTAACAAACTGAAGCCTCATAAATCGCCTGGTCCAGACGAGGTATATGCTAGAATATTAAAAGAATGTAGAGATGAATTGAGTAATCCATTAGCAGTTTTATTTAATAAGTCATTAGAATCGGGCCTAGTGCCAGAAGCTTGGAAACTTGCAAATGTAGTTCCGATTTTCAAAAAGGGTGATAAATCAATAGCATCAAATTACCGTCCCATTAGTCTCACGTCAATCATAGGCAAGTTGCTAGAGTCAATTATTGCTACAAAAATCAGAAGCCACCTTGAAACATTCAACTTAATTCATTCTTCTCAGCACAGGTTCACCCAGGGACGTTCTTGTCTCACAAATTTGCTTAGCTTTTTCTCAGAAGTATATGAAGCGGTAGATAATGATAAGTCATATGATATAATTTATTTAGATTTCAGCAAAGCATTCGATAGAGTCCCTCATGAGAGATTGATAAGGAAGGTAGAAGCACATGGAATAGGTGGATCAGTATTAAAATGGATTAGGTCATGGTTAACTGGTAGGAAACAAAGAGTCAGCATAAATGGATTAAAGTCAGACTGGGGTGCGGTCAAAAGTGGAGTTCCCCAGGGATCTGTATTAGGCCCTCTGCTGTTTGTTATATTCATTAATGATCTTGATTTAGGCATAACTCGTAGGATTAGTAAATTTGCAGATGATACCAAAATGGGGAGAGTGATAAATTCAGACAGTGACTTTGAACACCTTCGAAGAGATCTAGATACCTTACATGAGTGGTCAGTAGACTGGCAAATGAATTTCAATGCGATAAGTACAAGGTACTACAGATAGGAAGACGAATACAAACTGATTTAAATTATAAGCCGGTAACACGGAAATAGAAAACTCGGTTTGTAACGAAAAAAGATCTAGGTATGTTGTTAGCAACGACTTGAAACCTGAAAACAATGTGTGCATTTAGCGTTCGCAACCGAGGCAAACAAGGATTCTCTTTGGTTCATATCTAGGTCTGTGAGTAACAGAACTGCTGACGTTATCTTGAAACTTTCTACGCATTGACCACACATGGATTATGCGGTTCAGTTCTGGTGTCCTTATTATAGAATGGACATAGATTCTTTGGAGAGAGTGCAAAGAAGAATATTAAAAAATGATCCATAATATTAGAAACCTTCCATATGAAGAAAAGACTGAAAAGCTTGAAGCTTGCATTCATTAGAGGCGTAAGGATTAGAGTTAGGGGAGATATGATAGAGGTGTACAAGTGGGTAAGTGGGATTAACAAGGGTAAAATGGAAGATGTTCTGAAGCTCAGTAATAACGAACAAATGGCTTTAAATTAGATAAATTCCGATTTAGAAAGGATATAGGCAAGCACTGGTTTGGTAATAGAGTTGTGGATATGTGGAATAGGCTACCGAGTGCTATAGTAGGATCGGGGACGCTAGGGAGCTTCAAGACGAAGTTGGATAGGCACATGGAAGTGCTGGGATGGGTGTGAAAGGGATCTGCCCTGTATGGGCCAGTCGGCCTCCTGCAGTATCCCACTTTCTTATGTTCTTATGTTCATAAATTCTGAGTTTGCAAAACAAGAATAACAAATTTACAAGATCTACATCCTGTATTAGAGCAGGAGTTGCACAAGTAACTCCTGATATGCTTCCAATTGTGTTTCGAAATAATACAATGGATAAGTTTAAGATTTGTAGAGACAAGGATGATGATCGCACTGAATCTTCATCCTAATGTTTATATATATGAATATATAATTCAAATATACATTAATAGCATTGTTTAATCATTTACCTTAAAATATGATTACATTGTATTTCGATAAAATAAATAAGGACTTTTGGACCGCTCTGTGTATGTATATGTATGTGTGGCAACCTGTGGTGTAATGGTCAGCATGCTCGCCTCACAAGTTCGATCCTCAGGCAGGGTGAAACTATGAGCAAGTTTCTTTATGCCATTTGCCTCTGTCTACCCAGCAGTAATTGGGAACCTGGATGTTAATCGATTTGCGTATTGTATTCCGGGGTAATGGTTAGCCAGTGCAGTTAACGAGTTGTCCGGTCTTCTCGGACTATTCCTTGACACTGGGTCATGCAGCTCGTTAACTTAGGGTGTGGTTGTTGTGCTGGCGACAGCTTCTACACCTTAAACAATTTCACGCCTGGGTGGCCCTTGGGCCGACATCCTCGATTTCGAAGGGCTTTTATTATGTATGTATGTATGTTGTCACAGCCACTACTGAATAACCTTCCCCTTTCAGCGGTACTGTAACTCCTAGGCCCATTAACCAGACTCACGTTTTGAATTAACAGCTTTGGTTAACTGACCAGAATCATGTAGACAATCCTTGCTACCTCTGGCGGATAGTTGGAGGTGACATTTAATATAAACACACTGAGAGAAAACATACAAGGAAAACTGAGAAATACTAATTTATAACAATTAACAGCTGTTATATTCACAATAAAACAAAGAGTACAGACATTGACACTGCATAGCATTATGGCCCAACTGATGTAGTAAGTTATCAATCTTAATTTCACAATAAGTCTCTCCCTCCATTCACAGAAGTATCACTTAGTATTTACCCTAAATGCTGGTGAGTAAATTAATACCAAAATACAGGATATGCAATTGGATGAAACAAGATTACAATCACTTCCCTGATCGCACATCTACTCCCTGTATTCACCCCTGGAGGAGAGAGATTAGACTGTCCCCCACGTAAACAACAATACATCTTCTCCAATCAGAACATTAACTCAAGACTTATTTGTATAAGTACATAATATTATATGATGACAATATATTAGAAATTACAGTGAACCAATATAATTCACATTAAATACAAAAAATAAACAAATTTCAACAGACTTACATCATTTATACCTTTCATTGAAAACCAAACCGCTCTTACAACGATGACTGATATAAAAAGAACATACAGCACACATCTTAGTATATTAACAGCACGTAAATACATAGCCATATGTAGGGTTGCCATATGTGAACATTAAAAAAAGAGGACGTTCCAGAAATCCCCCGGCCTGGCACACACTTTGGCGCTATGTAACCTTGATGCAGCCGTGACCGTTTTATGCTCTGGAAAAGTACAACAAATCGTAAGCACTAGATGTGGCACCAAGCGACAAACCCACAACAAAGAATAAGATCAAACACTGTCACTGCAGGTTAAAGACTGGCTAACAACCGGTCACCGTCACAGTTGTCAACACACGTAATTAATATAGCGAAAGTGGCTAGATTATGGTTGAAAATTGCTAAAATGCCTTAAATGCAGGACAAGAAAATGCTACAGTGTAAAAAAAGCCATAAGAAAAGAATGGTATACTTTCAACATTTCATTAATGGCTGTAATAGCACTAAATACAAAAAAAAAAAAATATAATAATGCGCGTGGCTGAAGAACAAGGAAAAGCAGTACATGGCACTACAGGCTAGCCCAAAAACTGCTTGCAGCTAAGTTGACAACACCGTACAGGCGTACACGTGACTTATCAGCTGACGAAAACTGAACGAGATCTCTACGGTTTCCGCCTCCCCTCTCTCACAGTCTCTCTCTCGTCATTACAGTTTCATGTTTTTTCCGTGGAGAAAATGATGGAAGCTGAAATTCCGGACTGTGGAAGAATTTTAAAAATTACTTCCGGATGAAGATTTCGAGACCTAAATGGAGGACATGTCCGGGAAAATACGGACGTATGGCAACCCAAGCCATATGTAACAATGTGTGTGTGTGTGTGTGTGTCCATCCAAAACATTGTTTAAACAACAAAACAAGAAGAACAACAAGTTTTCTATACTAATCAATGCATGAAATTACTTTAATAATAATGTATGTAAATTGACCATATTTATCATTTGTTGCAGAATGATGAACGGCAGATGAGGTGAACACGTTAACGTTGCAGTAAGTCGCCTGGCCAAGAGACACTTCACCACCACCACCACCACCAACATGACGATTATGAGGGAGGAAGACTTGGAAATCGCTATCAAGGTCAGAAATGTTTTGTTGACACGAGTTGTAAAAATAACTTTGTGATTGTAATAATGGGTTTTACTGTTTATTGTAATTTGGATATGTGTTTTTGTTGTCTTCACAGTATTATTATGTGCGTGGATATTATTATACAAAGGTTAGGTTAGGTTATGTTGGGATACATTAGCTTATATATGGTAAAGCTAGCATTAAAATACTATGACACAAATTAACTATACCTTGTCCATCATTGCTCGAGATTTTCGTTCATTTGCACCAAATTTCTTCATACTTGATGAAACAGGATGAAAATGTTAACGCCCGTATTATTAAACATCTTCCCTTGAAGAGGTTCATCGTGTTTCAACCAGAGTTTTAAACTAAATGAGTCCTGAGGGACACCGCAGTATAGTGCGGGGTGGTGTGGCGGTAAAATGAACCACTTCCAATACTATAAATTAATTTATAATTTTGGAATTAGTTAATCTTACGGCCACACCACCCCGTTAAGTACTGTACTGCAGTGTCCCTCAGGACTCATTTAGTTTAAAACTGGTTGAAACACGACGACCCTTTTCAAGGGAAGATGTTGTTTAATAATACCGGCGTAAACCTCTACTTCACTTATTAATAATTCGTATCATATATCATTAGTTAAATCTTGTCACAACGCAATATTTAAGATGTAGAATGCCAAGTTAGTGGATAAAGTATTTAATAATCTGCTCGTGGGTGTGAGAAATGTTTTTGTTGGTTAAGTACCACAGAGCTGACATCTGTTGAGAGTTGATGTCGAGATTAGTGAAACTCCCTCTAAGTCCAGTGACTGTTCCCCTGAGCGTTTTACCTCCCTCCCGGACTGGGCGTATTTATATCAAGTTTTATCATTTATATAAATTATTTAATATATCCAGCCACACAAACTGTAGTACATTACCTATTGTGTTATTTGTTTGGTATTATTTGTTTCTGTTTGCTTTGCTTGATACAAAACAAAGAAATAATGAAAAGACTTCAGTTGAAAGCGAAATTCATCTTTGACTTCGACCTTTTATGACAAATATTTAAAAAATTCTAACATCCTCTCTGAAGTGCTGATGCCTTGAAATAATTTGCATTTTGATAGTCCAGATATTTAACATTATTTTAGAGAATAACAGGTCTGCTTACTGATTGTGAACGCATTTAGTTTGAATAAATGGACAGCTACGCGAAAATTTTCTTTGAACCAATCAGATACTTTTAGAGAAGAGGGGCGTGACTTACTGGCCAGGTTGGCGCGGAAATATACTATAGTGAGAGTACTGTTGTGAAGAAGGAACACTGAGTACAAGATCTACTTTTATTATTTTTTTTACATTTATTCCCTTCACCACTGATCGGCTCGTTAGCAGCTTGGGCGGTCGGTCACGTCTCTGTTATGCACTATTGGCAAGTACTGGGCATGCACTGGCTCCTGTATATATCGGAACCTGCTCCAGTGTTGGTCAAGTCTGGTCTTGAATGAGCTCACACTCGGTGCCGTCACAACACACACTGGAAGATTGTTCCAAGAGTTCACAACTCTCACTCCGAAAAAGTTCACCCTCACAGTTTTCTGTGCTTGTAATCTCTCTGGGTAGCTGAGGTTCCGTAGAGCAGACACCGGTCTGGTGGCCCTCCTTTGGACAGTTTCAATCAACTGGCAGTCTATAGCATATCTCGGGGACCAGACGGGGTACAGTACTCCAGGCGGGGAAGCACCTCACTCATGAAGATCATGACAGCGACGGACCATCCAGACATCTAAACGACCTTCTTATAAGACCTACTAGTTTCGTTGCCTGATTCACCTTCTCAAAATGGCCCGAGAACTTAAGTTCATTGTCGACATACACACCCAGGTCCTTTTCACATTCGGTCTCAATTAATGCAGTATCTTCGTCCTGTTGGTACATGTGATACGCCTCCTTACTTTTTTTTTTTACCGAAATAAGCTCACCCGGGCACAGGTCAAACGACCCACAACGGAGCCTGGGGCGAAAAAATAAGAACAGAAAGAAATTAAAAATAGAGAAGAAAAAGGTTATACTGTGTTAATCTACACCACGAAGATGCCGGAAAACCAGCCTTTTAAAGTGAGACAGATGGTATAAGTATGGAAACACAGAAGAAGGCAGAGCATTCCACAGTTCGGCTGTGTGAGGAAAAGAAGGATTTACTATAACGGGTTATTCTCGTGTGACCGACATCCACAGAGAAACGGTGGGCACCGCGGGCAAGACGTGTGTTACGAGCCCACGGTCTTGCCGGTGGTACACAAGATGCCAAATCCACCGAACATTGCCCGTTAAAGTACCTGTAAAAGAGAGAGAGTGAAGCAACATTGCGGTGAAGAGAAAGGGAAGAGAGAATGTCGACTAAAGGAGGAGAGTTAATAAGACGAAATGCCTTTGATTCCACCCTATCTAACAGTTGGACAGAAGAAGAACCACCCCAGATATTAGAGCAGTACTCCAAGTTAGGACGAATGAATCCCTTATATACTTGGAGCAACTGCTCAGGAGTGAAGTACCTACGGCATCTGTATAGCATTCCCAACTTCCGGGAGGCAGCTTTAGCTATATTAAAGATGTGTGATTTCCAGGACATATTGGAGGAAATGGTGAGGCCTAGCATATTTATTTCAGAATTTGGCAGAATGATCGCGTCCTGAAATGTAATTGGTGGGAGATCATCTAATTTAGAAAGTGTAATTGGTAAATACTGAGTTTTATTACTATTGAATTTAACCAAGTTTCTACCTCCCCATTCAGAGATGCTGCACAGATCCACATTGATAGAAGTAATGATATCAGCTCTAGAAACAGATCTAGTTTGAGAGTTAGGAGGAAGGGGAAAATGTGAAGAAGAGTGAAGAGTAGAATCATCAGCGTAAGAATGGATAGAATTAGTTGTAGTGTAAAGTAAATCATTGATGAAAAGAAGGAAGAGAGTAGGTGAAAGAACAGAACCCGGTGGGACACCACTATATTGGAAGAGAAAGAGCGAGAGATCGATCCCTCAACAACAACTGTCATGGATCGGTTCTCAAGGAAGCTAAAGATTAGAAAACAAAGTGAGGGAGAGAAACCAAAAGAGGGAAGTTTAGAAAGCAAAGACTTAAGCCATACCCTGTCAAATGCTTTGGAGATGTCGAGGGCCACCACGAAAGTTTCCCCACGAAGTGCATCCTTTTGCACTTCGTGACATGGAATCTTAGCAGCCATTTCTTAGACCATCTTAAAGATCACAGAGATCTTTCTGTAGCTCTTCACAGTCCGCTTGTTTCTTAATTTACCTAAATAACTTGGCAACGTCCACAAACATTTGTATGGAGGAATGTACAGCTTCTGGCTTGTCATTAATGGAACAAACAAACAACAACAGGCTCAGTGCACTGCCCTGTTACCCTGCTAGTGAGAGTACTATTGTGAAGTGAGAAACATTGAGTACACGATCTAGTGAGAGTACTATTGTGAAGTGAGAAACACTTGAGTACACGATCTAGTGAGAGTAATATTGTGAAGTGAGAAACACTGAGTACACGATCTAGTGAGAGGACTATTGTGAAGGAGAAACACTGAGTACACGATCTAGTGAGAGTACTATTGTGAAGTAAGAAACACTGAGTACACGATCTAGTGAGAGGACTATTGTGAAGGAGAAACACTTGGGTACACGATCTAGTGAGAGTACTGTTGTGAAGGAGAAACACTTGAGTACACGATCTAGTGAGAGTACTGTTGTGAAGGAGAAACACTTGAGTACACGATCTAGTGAGAGTACTATTGTGAAGTGAGAAACACTGAGTACACGATCTAGTGAGAGTACTGTTGTGAAGGAGAAACACTTGAGTACACGATCTAGTGAGAGTACTGTTGTGAAGGAGAAACACTTGAGTACACGATCTAGTGAGAGTACTATTGTGAAGTGAGAATACCAGGAATGACAGTACTGGTTCAACACAGCAGCTTTAAGAAAATCACAACATTTTATAAGACTTCTTCCTTTCCACTGAGAATAATGGGAGTGAAAAGTAGCACTGAAGTGTTATTTTCACCGAGACAAATACTGTGGTAGGCGCTTGTAAATAGTGACATTGTTAAATTAAGTTAAATAAGCTATGTGTGAGGTGAAGCATAAGAGGTGGTGTGGGGTGAGGCATAAGAGGTGGTGTGAGGTGAGGCATAAGAGGTGGTGTGGGGTGAGGCATAAGAGGTGGTGTGCGGTGAGGCATGGCATGTGTAGGTAAAGAGTTTAGTGTTGTACTAAGTGATGGTATTTACGTACTCGAATCACGGGGAAATTCTCTCCCTCCCATCTCATGATTAACCACTCTAACGTTACATGGAGGAGGTTTGGTTAGTTTAAGGTTAGGTTTGGTGAAGTTAAGGTTGGTTAGTTCAGTTTAGGTTTAGGTTAGGTTAGGTTTGGTTAGTTTAAGGTTAGGTTTGGTTATGTTAAGTTAGGTTAGGTTTGGTGAAGTTAAGGTTGGTTAGTTCAGTTTAGGTTTAGGTTAAGTTTGGTTTGGTTAGTTTAAGGTTAGGTTTGGTGAAGTCAAGGTTGGTTAGTTCAGTTTAGGTTTAGGTTTGGTTAGTTTAAGGTTAGGTTTGGTTATGTTAAGTTAGGTTAGGTTTGGTGAAGTTAAGGTTGGTTAGATCAGTTTAGGTTTAGGTTTGGTTAACTTAAGGTTAGGTTTGGTTAAGTAAGATTTTTTAGTTTAAGTTTAGGTTAAGGTTTGGTTAGGTGAGGTTAGGTTAAGTTAGGCTAGGTTTGGTTAAGTTACGTTGGTTAAGTTAGGTTTGATTAGTTTACGGTTGGGTTAGGTTAGGTTAAGGTTTAGTTCGTTTAAGGTTAGTTAAGTTTAGTGGAGGTTAGTTTAGGTCGAATTAACTTAGCGTTAAGTTAGGCTAGTTAAAATTTGGCTAGATTAGCATAAGGTTAGGTTAGGTTGGTTAGGTTAGGTTAGGGTGGTTAACCTTGAAAGTGAAATAAAC